CACACACACACACACACACACACACACACACACACACACACACACACACACACACACACACACTGCCTCCCAAGCTCTCGTCTGGATCTTAACATGCGTTGCCTTTCACCTTGTGATTAATGCTGAGCCGCCTGTGTCTGAGCAGGTTGCTGATGAGTACTTGGCCCCCGACGTTCTCAGCACAGTCAAAGAGATGAAGGTGGCCAACTTCAGACGAGTGCCCAAGATGCCTGTTTATGGAGTGGCTCAGCCAACATCAGAGGTGCGGAGCAGGTTTTTTTTTTCCTCATCTCATTAAATTCACTCTGATGCACACATTTGTCAGTAAAACAACCTAATCTCTTAAAATATAAAAGAATAATCTTGATGGATTGAATGGAAAGATTAAAGGGGCAATATTATGTGTTTCTCAGGCATACATTTAAATACTATACCATAATAAAGTATCCATGTCAACTTTAGCTGTTATTAAAATGCTGTTTTCATGTTTAAATAGGAAATAAACTTGTCTTCTTATCACTTCCTCTTCTAAACGCATTGAAATTGGCCTCTGTCTCTTTAAGAACCACCTTCCGCTTCTGTCTCACCCATTTCAGTGGGGGTGGGGGCTGCTATGATACAGTTTACTTGGCGTCTGAAAATACTTTTCCTCGAAGGTATTTTTAATCTGAAAAGAGCTTCACTGAGTGAGTCGTAGTGGAGCTCAGCAGACAGTTTAAGTTTCACTGTCATTTTCACCCGAGAGCCTGCAGGAGTCATGGCCGCGGTGTGTGGGGAGGAGGGGGGTGGGGTGGGGTGCACCCTGCCATAAGGAAGCTCAGCTTAAAGACACGTCCCAGGGGCGTTTCTGGTACCAAACGCGTTTCTGGTCCCCACCTGTCATTTTTCTCCTCAGCATGGCTGCCTAAAAAACGCTGCAGGATTTCTCAGACATGCATGAATGAGTCAAAGCAAGGCTTTGGGCATGTTTTTTATGAGAGTATAACATTATAACATGATATAAAACTCAAAAAAGTTGATTTTTACATGATATTGCCCCTTTAAAGATTTGATTAGAACTCTGTTGATTACAGCTTGAGAAAACAGTGAAGATAGATAATTAATGACCTAATTAAAGGTTGTAATTAATATGAAAGTGGACGAATAAAGAATGAAAGAGGCAGTTGATATAATCCTGTTTTTTTGCACTTATTAGTTTAATTCCTAATAGACCAACTTTCTTCTTCCTTGTTATCACCCACTACCAGTGGCCTGATGTTTGTGTGTGTTCATTTGTTATGTTAGCAAAATATGTCAGAAACCAATGGACTGCTTTGAAAGAAACTCACACAAAGAACTGCATGTTTTATTACAACTGATCAACTCTGGAGTCAGCCCAATTCAAGATGGCCACCGCAGCTAATTGAACTTGGCAAACATAAAAAAAATGACTAACGCAGTCAAATTTGCAGATTATTGAGCTGAAACKTAATGTGGTAGTAGCTGAGAGTCATCTGCCACGTAATTGAGCACTACCATTTCTTACAATATTTCTTGAGAATGCACATATCATTTACAAGGTGTGACCAAAACAGCTTTTTCTATAAGATGATTTTAACTCAACACTCTGGAATGAAGTACTTTTAGTTTGAAWAATGAACTGAATTTTGTAATTATCCTCTGTATGCATCCYTGTACTTTATAGATAGATTCAGAGTAGTGACTCGGGTTTATGTTATAAAAACTTGCACACCCTCCACAGGATGCTCCAGCTGAACTTGCAGTCCCTTCCTTTGCTCTCTGCAGGCGACCGGAGCCGTGTTGGCCCATCTGACGGACGAAAAGAGGAAGCACAGCCACGTGTTGTGGGTCAACCTGCACGAGGAGCTGGTGTTCGAAGGAAACGGGAAAATCTTTACTCCCAGGGAACCCTTGTGTTTGGATCAGCCCATCCCTGTCCCAACGAATGACCCACAAGTGATAGAGGTAGACAGAGACGTCGTGCTGTTTGAGAGTTTAACGCTGCTCGTATGAGATGGTTGGAGTTTGATGTGGTTCTTTTTCACAACTCCTGTAGAAATTGGAAACGTCCCTAAAGGAGGAGATTCTGCGTGCTCAGAAGAGTTTGGAGGTGACGCTGGAGCAGGAGAAACAAATGAAGATGTTTAAAAGTGGCCTGACGGTTCAGGAGATATTCAACCAGCACAAAAGCTCCCACCAAGGCCTCGTGTACAAACGCATCCCGATGCCAGAGTGCTGCGCACCGAAGGCAGAGGTAATGATGAGGGGATTGAAACAGCAGCAGGGATTTGGAAACAAAATTAGCCTTTGGCGCTCTCTAGTGGTGAATAACGTTACCGTTTAACACACAACTTCCTTACTTCCACTTTAGTTTTTTTTTAAATAATTTATTCAGTTCCAAGTTAAATAAGTTTGCCTTAATTGGTTGATTTGGTTTTTCAGGACTTTGATATGCTGCTGGAGGCCATGAAGGGTGCTTTAGCTGAGGACTCGCTCTCAGCTTTCGTTTTCAGTTGCTCCAATGGCAGAAGCAGGTCTACGACCGCCATGGTTGTTGCAGTTTTGACTCTCTGGCACTTTAAAGTGAGCAACATTCCTAAAGCCTCCAAATGTTTTCTCAAGGCCCGTTCGTGACCGTTTAATAAACACATCAGTTTTCTTCGGCAGGGCTTCCCAGAATTTGCGGATGAGGAGATCGTGAGTGTTCCTGACGCGAAGTACACAAAAGGAGAGTTTGAGGTTTGTACACTTTAAAAACTCACATTTATAAACAAAACTTTGCTAAAGATAAGATTACCAATTATAATACATTTTCATCTGTTTTTTAGTTGTAGAATTGCCTTACAGAACCTTTGGGATCATGGAATAATAATAGAAGTGTTAATATTTATATGATTATTTTTCATGTGTTTTTCATCAGCAACTTTTAGCTGATTTTTCTCCCAAACAAATTTTGTCTACGCTTGTGATTCAGAATGATGGTGTGATGTGAACAAAAGCTGAACCTTGTCTCTTCCGGCTRGTACTTTTCTGTAGAACCTGATGCGACAATGACTCAGTGTTTGGAAAGTGCCACTTGTGTCCTCGGCGTTGTAAACATGCACAGAAAGAGGCCACGCTCTGCAGCCGCACAATACGGCGTGCCAATCACAGCCGAGTGGCCACCAGAGTTTCTTGGAAATGCAGAGTGGTCGTCACAGAAACCTTGTCAGCCTTTGATTCAGCCTCTTAAGGGTATGGGATCTTGGCAATCCCTGCTGCTCCGAATGCCAAAAAGGATGTTTTCTTTTTCCAACAAGCTAAACAAAATGTAATCCTCTGCTTAGAAAAACCTGAGTAATTTAGATGATTTAATGTGGATAAACACGCAACAGAAAAAAAATGATGATAATTACATGTGACCCATCATATCAAAATGAGGATTAAGTCATATTTGGTCAAAATGACCTAATTACATTTTCAAATTTCTGGCTTTAAAAGCTACTTTTTGATAACCGGATCATTCTGATATCATAAGTGGATCCAGAGATGTGACTTAATTTGTCTTGTTGGTTACAATGATGCATTACTGTTTGGTCTGAATCCTAATTTTATGTAAATTTATTGAGTAATTTTCGTGTTAATATAAACAGGAAACCTCAAATAGTATTTGTATATTAAAATTTACCAGTTGGAAAGAAACTAAAACATTGCTAGCGCGCAGGGAAAAATTCAAAATTTTAAGGTGTTTTTTCCTCAAAATCCGTTTTTTTGTTGCTACTGCTAAAAAAAAAAATGCTTCAAAATATTTTTTTAGGATTATATTTCAGACAGTTTATTCAAATGATACATTGATAAGGCTTTTATTCATTATATTTTGACAAAATGTATTTGAATATTGAGATTTTCCAGCTAAAAAGAAA